ACCCTGAAAAAATGTCACAACATAACTGAGCTGTGATGTCCATGACCCAGCCCAATTACTCATCTTTGCACGTGGGACAATTCAAGAGTGGGACAAACTGGTCGGCATTACAAATGTGACAGGGAAAAATGTTGGATTTCTGAAGTGGATGCAAGATAAAGTGCTACAGTATTTCTGAGTCTCAGTCAGCTCAAAATTGTGAGATGTACTGTAACTCAAAATAACTAATCTACAGATGCAGTCTGACTGAAGCGCCAAAAAAGATGAACAGAAACAGATAAATGATGCAGGAAGGACTGCAACCATCGGCAGTTCAAGCTTACTTGTTGATAAGTGGATGCCGTTTTACTCTCTGTCCATGACCTTGTACCAACTGCCAGACACAGAACATCTTTCAACTAGCCCACGGTTAAACAAACATGTGCACCTCATTCCTCCACATCTGTGCACCTTCCTCACATATCGTGTAGCAAGAACCTGGGAGGCAGCAGTTCACTTCTTGCTCTCACTTATTTTTAGAAAAGTTCTGAAGAAATTAAATAGCAAGTATATATACAGTTTTTCAGCAGCACCATTACTACTACTACTACTACTACTATTGCTGTAGGGATGGCAGTCATCCTTTTGTTTGATGTAAGGCTGGAAACACACAATGATAGTCCTTAGGGGATCATTCTTATGCATTTACAGCAGCCTTCATCAACCCTCACCTGCTGGTTTATGTTATTCTCTAATTAACCTGCAAAGCTTGTGTTATCCCTGCTCATCGAAGCTGTTCGGTCTATTTTATGCTAAGTTGCACAAAATAAATATGCTAAAGCAAGATGCATATGGTAAACATAATGTTGGCATTTAACTAAAAGCATTACAGTGCCTATCATAAACAGATACAGATTTGACATTGTTGATGGGCTAAGTGTTGCGCTACGAGTTGATAAAAATATAAAAATTATTTCATAAGCATGTTGTGTTCTAAATGTTAATTTAGAAATACATTGACAGTTATTATTATAGATGGCAGATATGAGGTTTTTTTTTTAATATAACAGCAGTGAGGACAGTGTTTAATGGATATAATGGTTATACACAGTTATATAACAATCCCAGCAGCTCCAGGATGTACTAATTTTCATTTTCAATAAATTATATTTAAAATCACTAAGCATAATATCATGTCTTGGGTAAATATTGATATTGTGTGATAGCTTCTCCAAAACCAAGTGCTGTAAAATCTAATACTCTCCCTCCTGCCTGAAACATTAATTAAAGACTAAAATGCATTCATTAATATCAGAAAGGCTATTTACACATTTTAAATACAGCTGTAATTCAAACTTCAGCATAAACACATATAAGTGAATTGATCTGATTTTCTGACTATTTGGGAGCTCCTTTATAGGTTTGAATGCTACCCGTAAATAGGTAAATGCAGCAGTTTATCTAAATAATTACATGTTTTTCTTTGATGTAATTGCTTTTGCCAAATCAAGAAATGCAACTACTGTTTGACTGAGTTTGGTTTCTCTATGGAGAGGTGAAGGCCATTATGGGCCTTATTTAACAGGACATATTTCATAAAATATTCAGAACCCTTCACTTCAGATCAAGGTCTAAATTGGTGTTCTTGCTGTTCAATCTACAGTCGACAACTGATAATGACTAATTTGTTAAACACAAACACGTCTGTAAATTACAAAAGCTTCGTTACAATTCCAGCTTTATCTGATTATGAGCATTCAACCTGACTGCAGTCTAGTCCAGTTTTGACAGGACGTTATTTTGAAAGACATAAATTTACAATATAAGGTCCTCCAATACACATTATATGGTAGGACAAAACAAAACGCCAAACAGAACACATTACAACACAAGTAACTGTAAATCTGCCGCCTCCTCTTACATACTCAGGAAAACCAAACTTCTTCCCCTTCATCAACCCTGATCCAGCCAGTTTTCACCCCAGCAGAGACTCACAGGGCAGCAGACACACTGCTCCCATTACAATTAGTAATGCAGCAGTACTTACAGCAGCGTGCTTTCTTCCCATCCTTGTATCTTGCCTCCCTCTATTGTGTTACAAATCCACTGCCCAGTGAAGACCTCTGTCTGACCTAGTTACATATATACAGCAAATAAAGGTCAAACGACAGACTTAGGAAGAGCATTTTCTGGCTGGTGTGTGTGTATATTCATAATGCTTAACTGGGTTAGAAATGAGTGTAAAGCTGTCTTCTTAAAGCTCTTAGAGATTGACATGTTAGTGTCCGTGTGTATATGCACATGTGCACTGAGGGAGACATCTGTTTTTCTGCCCTGAGGGGTGAAAACGAAAGAAAAAGGCAGCAGTGACAGACAGTAAGCAGTAGTTATTTATCAGAATGTGAGGAAGAAGAAAAGTCTAATCCTGGAAAATTACTCTGAATGTCATCAGCAAAATAACACGCTGTCTAGACTTTGGCAACACATGATCTGAAACAATAACTTCTTAAACGTTGTGTAAAAATCAGCATTTTGTTCTAACAGTATTGTGTTTATCACAACTCACACAGCACTACAATCCCGCTGTGTCTTCGCAGAAGAAATGCTCTAATCTTATAATCGATATCTGATTGAGGACATCATGAAGCAACATTTGGGCTTGACACAAATCAGCTAAATCAGTCTGAATGCTGCTAAGGGCAAAGTGTCAGAGACTGGCCACATCTACATAAATTTGTCATCTGATAAGGCAGTGAGATAACACTTGGGCCCTTCACACTTCTCTTATTCAGTGTCTATGAAAGAAAGCTGTGGTTTTTTGCACAGTTGATCATTGCTCATGATCAATAAACAACAGAGAGGGGGAGACAGTTATGTGTACAAGGTAAGAAGAAATAATTCAGTCACAGAAATACCAAGAAAACAGATATATTTCTACTAAAGTCAGACCCAAAAGCTGTGTCCCGGCCTAGATATTTAATCGTCTGAAAATGTTAAATGAGTACTGCTAGTGACAAGCAGAGATAGGCAGTAAAGCGTTACTATAATCTTTCACGGGAACGTGAAATTCACAGAGAAAACCCCGTATCCCCCCACTGACATGACCGCTGTGGCACCGGGGACACCTCCAGCCTCACTCCTGCTAAACAGGTGAAAAAAGACTTAGTGGGAAAGGACTTAGTGCACAGAAAACCAGCTACACTAGCTCTGCCGCAAAATAATCCACTTGTGTATCATCAGCACAAGGCTAACTTGACTGATTAAATTCTCTTCTCTATTGAATTCATACAAAAAACAGACACATATGGCGTTATAAACGACTATTTCTTGGTAGAAATTCTCTTTTGTACGAAAACTTCGGCAACGGAGTAGCAAAATAAGGTGTCTTAATTAACCCTTGTATGGTGTTCGGGTCTGTGAGACCCGTGTTCAGTTTTTTTCAAAAGAAAAATT